AGAACTGTCAAAAGACCTGCGTAAGGCTCCATGTACAATGCAGCTGATAAACTCGTGTTTAGGAGCTGTTCAGCATTTTTTTTCAGCAGCCTCTGAACTCTCCTGTGTCCATGTACAGTTGTTTTTTGAACCCAACAAACTTGCGTTCAGGAGTAGATTTTATCAGCGTTTCAAACGCCAAACGCTTGTAAATGCGGCTAACCGTTTTTTTTACTCTTCCATTTCCAGATGCTGTCCAGAGCCTTTTTTCATCATGAAAAATGCATGCAAAGCGTTTTCCCAGTACTCAAATGGACCTAGCACACCACACTTAGAGGTTTTGCATGAAAGAAAATATGGTAGACACTGCTGCAATAATTTCTGTACAGAAATGAGCTGGAACACATCCAAACACCACAAAAAAAAAAAAAAAAAAAAAAGATAACCTCAACAAATACTGCTCTCTCTGCTTCTGCTCTCTCTATTTCTCTCCACATGTCTGAAATAGTTAATTTTTTACTGTTTTTCAGTACATTCTGGGCATTTTGGAAGGTCTCCTGAGGTTATCTTTAAAAAGCGCTTCTAAACGCAAACGCTCATAAACGCGCATAAACACGGTATGCAAATGCAGCTGAACAGACATTTTTTAACCTACGTTTTCCAGCAGTCAGTTTCCATCGTTCAGAAGTGTTTTCCAAACGTCCCCTTGTACATGGAGCCTAACAAGGTAATGGAACTTCATAAGGATGGAAAGGGATATAAAAAGATATTCAAAGCCTTGAATATGACATTCAGTACTGTTCAATCACTTATCAAGTGGAAAGCTCTGGGATCTCTTGATACCAAGCCAAGGTCAGGTAGACCAAGAAAGATCGCAGCCACAAATGCAAGGAGAATTGTTTGGGATACAAAGAAAATCCTACAGGTAACCTCAGAAGAAATACAAACTGCTCTGGAAAAAGACCGTGTGGATTTTTTCTAAGGAAGCACAACACAATAATTCTTAAACAAAAATTAGCTGTATGGTCGAGTTGCCAGAAAGAATTCTTAACTGCGCCAATGCCACAAAAAAAGTCGTCTCAAGGTGTTGTCAGGCATATTGTAACTGGGCTCAGTTAAGACTTCTTTCTGGCAACTCAACCATGCAGCTCATTTTTGTTTATGTATACTTGTATTATTTCTTCTGTTAAAAAAAGAATTCTTGTATTATACTCCTTAGAAATCCGTAGTAATAGTAGGAAATTAACCTTTAATTGCCATTTTACCTTGTGTATGTCACCTTGTGCGCCTACACCAAGGCAAAACATTCCAGGGTATGTAAACTTTTGATCATAGTCATTTGGTGATTTCTGTTATCAATATGATTTAAAAAGGAGCCAAATAACTATATGGTAAAAAATGGCTTCGTATGATCACTATCCTTGCATAAAAGACTTGTTTGGCATGATCAGTCATATTTTCAATATAAATCCCACAGTTTCACACTTTCTGGCTGGGTATGCAAACTTTTGAGCACAACTGTATGTTGAGCAGGCTCGGGATGGGGGGATGCTTCCTGCCAGCAGAACACAATAGCGCTGCAGGAGGGATTCCCCCATCAACACCCTCAGAACCAACACCGGAACCAAGCAACTTTCTTTCTTTCTACCCGTAGTTTGCATAATCTATGGACTGCTTAAAAAAATGTATTTAGTAACAGCACAAGTAAAATAAGTCAGCTTTAATGCTGGGTATCCTATTCTTGGATGACTGTTGTTTACTGAACAAATTCAATTTAATTGATACTGGATGCACAGCTTTCTTCTCCTTGACCTGCAACTAAGAATTCCGCATCTCATACAGTGTCAAGATGATTTTGTGTAGAAGCCCCGCTACCCACCCCATTGCTTGTTCATTAACAAAAAGTCTTGTATTCATTCACAGAAGACAAAGTGTTCTGTAGATGGGTAAGGGGAGAAGAGGTGCAGGTAGCTGATATACTCTGTCCTCCATTCACAGAACATATTGCATCTGTGAAAAGAATAGAAGGCTTTTTGAATGGATGAGGGGAGAGAAGGGGATGCTGAAAAACACAACATCCACACTGTATTAGAACCAGAACTCTTACTTGCACCCAGAAGTGGAGTGCTGTTTGTAGTATCCACCATCAATGGATAGTATTTGTACAGTAAAAAAGCAGCCACCCAAACATAAGATACCAATCATTAGAGGTAATTTATTTCACTGGTGCTGTTCTCCCAAAAAATAACATTTCCTGGCTTTATGCTTTAAAGTAAATCTGACTTCCTTCTAATATTGCCACTGGATGGTGACCCACTGGCTTCAATATTTGCTTGATCTGCATGTTTATTCCAGGTCATTGGTTCAGAAAATCAGAAGTCTGTATTTGTGAACATGATCCGGGACACTTGCTTTTAAAAAATCTGAAGCCGGAAGCTTAGCATGACTTCCAGAAAAAGTAGCATTTTAGGGGAGATCTGTAATCAAAGTCAATGTTTTTCTTATGACAGATTTTCTTTAAAATGACCTGCAGGCTGATAGACTTAACTATACAGCTCATTAATGTGTTAAACTTGGAAAGCCAAACATTTTCTTCTTACAAAGATTTGGATGTTCAGAAAACTGCCTGTGCCAACGTCTACTTCTGAAAATGTTAGTAACCTTGGATTTTATGCTGATCTTTTCGTCTTAATGCGATCTGAGTCACTGATTTGGAGAAAATATGCAAGCCAGGAGTGTGATAGACCCCACCGGAACAGGGGCTTTTGGAGGGGACTGCAGGCTATCCTCTTGCCTATTGACCATAGGCCCTGGCATTTGAGGGGGCTCTAGTCTTTGGGAGGTGTGTGCCTGGGGGGACCTTTTACTTCAGATTTAAGTCCATGTGTGCCCAAACCACACTGACTCTGAGAACTGGAGGACCAAGGTACAGATTTGGGTCTCTGTGCCCAAACCAGCATTGACTGCTGCAACCCCCCCCCCCCCCTATATTCAGACTCAAATCAGATGTTAATATAATCATCTCAAAACAATCTGATGCTGAGGACTCTTGCTGTAATCTGTTTATTAAGGTGTGATGTGTTTACCATTGTGTGTTGTCCCATTGTTAATGGAGTTAGTTGAGTCACCTATTGTTTGGTCCCCCTGGAGGTTCCTAAATGATGGGATTAGTCTGGTGTCAACCTGACCTCATTACCTAATCAGTGGGGGATGTTTATCCCAATGTGTAATATTTGTTTTTATTGTTCATGTGGGGAATGCCCCTATTTCTGAAGTGTATAAAAATCTGTATTTCTGTTCAATAAAGCTTTCCAGTTTGGAATCTAAGTTAGTCTTGTTCAGTCTTGGGTGCAATGCCTGGCTATAGAACCTTGGTCCTGTGACCTAGCGGCATGGAAGCAGTTCTCCGACGGAAACACCCAATCGGGGTGACGGGCGTTCCATCACAAGGAGTTTCACCTGAACTCTTATTAGATGTTTTTCAGTAACCCAGACACATTCACCCATGTAGCAACAACCAGGATCAGGTATGTATATTTAAACAGCTTTATACTTAAATAGTATTAGGCCCCTTCCACGCAGGGCAGACTCTGTTTTGATCAGCAGGGGATCTGTCCGCTGATTCCTGCTTATCAGAACAGAGCAGGCGGATGAGCCATCCGTGTCCGCTAAGTCTCTGCAAAGTGAACACGGACAAGCCTGCTCTGCTCTATGAGTGGCCAAATGTAAACAAACTACCCTGTCTGTTTACACCTTACTGCACTCTGATCCAATCTGCTGAGACAGAGGATGATGGATCCCCTTCTGTTTTTTTTTTTTTTTTTTATGTAGCGGATCGGATTGGACCAGAGGTATGCAGGTGTAAACGGACACAAGCCGTGTACACCCGCCGGTCCATAGAGTTCATTGGACTGTCTGATCAGGTCCGCCTGACAAACTGACCCTTTGTATGAAAGGAGCCTAAAATAGGAACTTGGATCTACATTGGCAAAACTATTACACTTTTAAGTGCAAACTATCAGTATTTTTTGCTCAGTGTTCTAAAGCTAGAATGGCAAGTAACACACAAATAAGATGTTGTCCTAAAGCAACGCTCCCCTTCTACCATTGACATTTATGAAAAGCTAACACAGGTCCTATGTTTTTGAATTTCTCCATTTGACAATCGGTCGAGTAACTCCTTTTTATATTTGTTTTTATACACAAAAGGGCACATGAAATAGTCAACTTAGAGGCAGGCTGTGCTTATCAGAATGTTGCTTTAACACATTTGGGCTGCCCATGCATGAATCAATACATAAAGAAAATCATCTAAGACAATTACTTAATATACAGGGGGTACCCCCTCTTCATCAGGTACACCCCAAAACACGCAAGCTGTCTTGGATCCTGGATGGCGCTTCTGCTGGCGTTGGGTCCACTTGGGTCTGTACATCATTTGTGCCACGAATGTTGGCTTTACGTCCCATATATCACTTGTGTTTGCGAGTATGATTTTAGCTCTTCATACTACTACTAAACTCACAGGGATAATGCACTAGGCTGGTGCGCCTTTTTAATTTTGCTTTATTTTCTGCAGTATTGCTGGACTTCCCCAGTCGTAGGAGGGCAGCAAGACCTCAATATCCCTGGATGTGGGTTCATAGGGGGCCCTGTCAATATACCCTGGTTTATCACATCCACGTGCAGGTGTAATTGTTTTATTTTGTTACTGGTCCATGTACAGCGCACCAGATTCTGAGTGCTCTAGTTTTAGTAAATCTCCTCCATAGCTTCTCCAATATGTTGGGAAACCTCAATGACTAATGAACCACAATTCTTTTTTCACAACAGAAGTGGGAGCAATTTTGTCACGGTCCCTGCCTCACCATCACACCATAGCAAAACAATGAAAATGCTGCTAAGCGTGTGAGGTTAAAATGATCAGATGAGCACATTTTTTTTCAAAAGAAATCTTCCTATCTCTGGACATCATTTGGTTTGTTTCCCTTGGAAATTAAGAACAAAACAAGTTAACTTACTTACTTTTCAACACATTTCTCTGCAACAATGTTGGCTCGGAATCCCAAGACAGCGAACACCACGAGTGTTGCCAGGATGGAAGTCATGAAGTTAATAAATGACACCAGAATAGCATCAAAGTGGCAGTTATTATTACGATCATTATAGCTAGAGTATGCTATCACACTTCCGAATCCAAGGCCCAATGCAAAGAAGACCTGAGTAGCTGCCTGGCGCCAAACTTGAACGTCGCCCCAAATTTCCAGCTGAAAAAATAGAAAACATTTGTTTTTAAAAACAAAGAAAAAACGGAAATTTCAGTATTAAACAATCACAACAGTGCTGGCTAATCTTTGAAAGATATATATTTGCCTACGTAATTGAATTCACTTACAAAAGCTGGCCACATGCAGTTTCTTTTCAGTGATCCAGTGGCTAACAGATTCCTCCATCCATGCCAAAGAGGCTGGTGGAAGAATTCCCCCATGCCCCATCGTATTCTGAAAGCAGCACCCGAAGCTGCAGCCACTGGTCAACAAATATTTTCCAGCTTGCCCCTTCAACAGGAGTCGATCAAAGGAATGACTTCCAAGGAGAGGAAACGGCAACACAGTGATCGAAATTTAACTGGGTCCTACAGAACCAGTCAAATTTCTGCCAGTGTATGGCCAGCTTTTAAGTCCGAAGTTTCAATTTGAGTTTTAGGGGCTAGAAGTCCCCTGAAGAGTGATGGTTTCTGACTTTGACCCCACACTGTCTACTACCTACAGAGAGGGCAAAACAGGATCAAACCACAGTTCCCCATAGTTAATAAAAATGCAATCAACTACAGGTCTCTGCTATTTGATGCTCCTAACCACTCCCAGGAGCTGTGGGATAGTGTATGAGTTGCGCAATCAACAAGGCGGCAACTCTAAGATTACATAAACTTTGACCCAACTCATAATCAGGCTTAGACAAAGTAAAAAAGCTAAATAAGGGGGCAAACAAAAATGTAATCAGTAGACCAGCATAATTAGAATATTTTCAATATTGAGATTCTTACATAACCTCAATTGTGACAAGTTCTAGTTGTACTGGGAGGGAGGTCCATGACCAAAAGTCATGTCCCCAAGTTGCAGACTGGCAACTTCTATAAGGCTATGTATAGTGTGTGTAGACCTGACTCAGTTGTCAAACCAGCCATAGATGGCTCGAATCCCGTCTGGTTCAGCAGGGACTGGACGAGATTCAATCCATCTATGGTCAGGCTGACTTGAGCACAACCAGCATGTCAGATTTCTAGCTTTTGATTATTGCCAGCAGCTATAGCCGCTAGCAATAATCACCGTATTCTCCCAGCAGGGACAGCTCATTGCGCTCCCCCCCCCCGAACAGGAGAACAAAATAGCTCTGTGGGAGAAATTCCCCCACCCGTGATTGCAGGGAAGAAAATTGCATGGGCTACGGCCTCTCTGATCCCAATGGAAGAATAGCTCATTAGATCATCAAATCCTGGGTATGTGGTTGGGAGCACCTAGTAAGAACAATCATTTTGCTTGGAGATTCATTTAAAATGTTTAACAAGAGCGTCAGACACAGACACGATGCTTCTGGGCATAGTCCTCACCCTTCTTCAGAGCTTTCAAAAAAGATTTGCTGATTAATCAAGACAGAGTTTGTTTTAATACCACAATTTGGGGTTATATTGTGGCTGAGCCGCAGCATGACCCGGCAACAGCGAGAACACCAACTACATCTCTCTTTACTGTTAGTTGACGCTGAAAATTTCCAAGCGAGATGACCCACATATCAAAGATTTGATTTTCTGATGAGCGATTCTTCCATGTTGACCAGATAGGAAGAAGTCTAGGGCTTGAGCTAGGTCTACACGCACCATACCTTACCAATGGATTCATCTTCTTCATGTAGAACATCCCCTCTTTGAATTCACACCAGAACCAATTCTTATTGCTACATGTACAGCGATAAAACACACCTAATAGTTTTTTTATGTAAAACATGTTTGAGTAAGGAGAATTATTTAAGATGACACAAATGAAGATCAGTGGTCTGTAGAAGCTATGATCCCATACCTTTGGCGTAAACATGATTCGAATCCCATCCACAGCACCATCCAGTAACAATCCACGGATAAGGAAGCACAAGAGCACAACGTAAGGAAAAACCGAGCTAAAGTACATCACCTGGAAAAGCATATGAATGTATTCACTAAAAGTGAACCTGAGTTTCAGCCCTTAAACTAGAACTAAAGGGAACATTTTTTTCATTTTAGACAGAGTAAAGAAGGGTTTTAACCCGTCACTTTTTTTGTCATATGTGTCCCAATGGCGAAAATTGCATTTATTATTTAAGAAATGTAGAAGCTAAAGAATAAAATACAACCAAATAACACAGCTACCTATTGTCACCTTTGGTGCAACTGCAGAGCAGCTAATATGCGATTCAGGACATCTTAACTGGTTTTAAGGCTCTACCTATGGCTGATTTTACACATTCAAAGCACTGAAAGTTTCCACTGCATAGAGAAAGAAGAGTTTTTTTTCCAGTTTTAAGCCTATTAAATCAGGAAATCTGAGGAGGAATGGGCAAAACCTCAGGGTCTTCTATATGGGTTCTGACAGAAAAATAAGATCCTAAAAAAGTAACCACCACAAGGTTTTCTAAATGACGAATGCAGATATGAGATCTTATATATTTAGCTACAAACAGCTCAAAGTGAACCTGTCAGGTCCTGTCATCAGATTTGTTAACAACACTCGGTAGTGTTTTTCTTGAAATTACTTTCTGGGTCCCTTTGAATGTCTTTGGATTTCAAGCCAGACCTGCGTACAGGACATTAGCACCCGCACCCCCCTCCTGATGGTAAGTCCCACTCCCAGCATTTATTAATCCTATGCCAAAACCTTAGTGGCCGGTAGAAGCTCTGGAATTGAAGTGTTGGCACAGACAATGTTTTGGAATTCACAGGTTATTTGTTAAGCTTGTCATTCAATAGTCTATGGTGCAAACAAAAGCGTGGCGAGGTATTCTCTGCTGAAGAGGAACTGAAGGTACATACTGACCAAGTCTGCTTAATTGTCACCAATCAGTAAAGACCATACGACCTTTTTCACAAGGAACCTGGAGCAATGATTACTACACCTTACAAACAGGTAAAAGTTCAGCAGCTTCAGTTTCATAAGTAATGGTTACAGTAAAGACTGATTTACACTCTCAGAATGGGTTGGCAACACATCAGAACTCAACTGGCATGCCATTCAAAACGAATGGCACTGCAAATTGCTAAACCATGTAATGTGGGTTACCACAACACATCTCGCTGCAATGGTGTAAATGGGCCTTAGACAACTGGTCTGCTCTAGGAGCTTCTGGTAATCTACTCCGCTATGATACAAACAATCCCAATGCTACAAACTCCTTTTAACTTCTCATACCATGCAACATTTTACTCTTCAGACATGAATGGTGAAAGCAGTTACAACACATTCATTACTGTGACATATCATCAACTTACTTTCCCAGAAGACTTGATCCCTTTGATCATACCACCGCAAACCAGTATCCAGGCAAGAATAAGACACCCTGTCAATGGCCAGTTCATCTCTGATGCTCCAATGGACTCTGTAACATCCAAGGCTTTTCTGTACCAGAAGTATGTAGTGGGTGTACTCTTGGCACACTCCAACTCTGTAAAATACCAAAAACACACATGGCCAGAGAAGGACATTAAAGTGTATATCAAGGCAAAAAAAAACAAAAAACAAAACAAAAAAAATCAACAGGTCACTGTTACACCAGTCCTGGTGTCCCTGACCAGCGCCTCACCAGTCCAGTGTCCACCGGGTGTCCATGGCCACCGCCACACCAGTCCAGGTGTCCCTGGCCACCGCCACACAAGTCCAGTGTCCCTGGTCACCGCCACACCAGTCCAGGTGTCCCCGGCCACCGCCACACCATTAACATACAACATCAATATCAACCTTTTACATACTGTTAAAGAATAAGTTCGCCATTTAACAAAAAATAATAAATGCACATTTTTTTGCAGGTAAAAAAAAATGCGCATTTTACTAGATTTTGATTTGGGAGCCTGGAAAGCATTGCACTAGCAATCAGATCTCTGGTGCCATGCAGGACTCCTGCAGACCTGTCAGTTTATCTGTGCACTCATATCTCATACGGGCAAGCAGATATACTCTGACAGCAAGAATCAATAGACTACCACAGCGCTCCAAAGCGCTGTGGAGGTTTTATTGAGAACTACAAGCCGACACCCACAAAGGCTGTCGGGACTTGCAGTTTTCCCATTCACAGAACACTGTAAATGGATGACTTGGCTGGGCGGGCGGAGCCCTGCAAGGCCAAAGTTTTTTAAATTTATGACAGCTAGCGGGGGAGGGGGGGGGGAAGAGATCCCCCCTGCCAGCGTTCAGAACAAGGGATCAGGGGGCGGGTGCTTTCGTAATATGCTACACCCTGAATATGGGCGTAAAATGTAATGAAAGGTGAACCTTATCCTTCAAATTAAACAATTGTTTGGAAGAGACCAGTTAGGTTTTCCTTTAATCAATAGGGCCAGGAAGAGGGGTGTGTGTGTGCGTCTGGGCTGATGGTGTCTGTGTATTCCCAGGGCCAATACCACTTGGTAACGTCGAAGACACGATACAAATGATAATTTTATCTGTAGGGGTGGCATTCTTGCTACAATGTAAAGAGCAGGGATTCCACAGACCTCAAAATTATACCAAAGGTTCCTCTAGGGTAAAAATGGTTGCAAAAGGCTGGTCTATAGCGTGTGTCTATCAGGGTTAACAACAGATTCAACCAGACAAGCCTAGGTGTCCTATGTCATTTATGGTACTGTGCTGTCATCTTGACTTTTCAGGCAGAAATGCATCTCCTACAGATCGCTGTAGGCACCAAGTGGAAGGAGCTACAAAGATCTCAATGAAAACCTGCAAAGCGAGAGCTAAGCCAGAGCTTCACAATGAGACTCCACTAGTGCTTCCTCCACTAGACTAATGCAGGCCATAGATGGGTCGAAAATCGGCCGATTTGTCGGCCGAAAATAAAATCGGCCGATTTTCGGATCGTTAGTGGGCGATTTGGTCGGCCGTTTTTCGGGATTTTGGCCGTTTTTTTTTTTTGGTAAAGTTGGAAAAAAATCGGCCGATCGGCCGATTTTTGCGGCATTAATGGGCCAATCGGCCGATTTTTTACCGATAAAAAATCTGCGCATGAGCAGTGACTTGCAAGAGGAAGACAAAAAGAAGAAAAAGAAGAAGAGGAAGAGGATGAAGAAGAGGATGAAAAATAGGATGAAGAAGAGGAAGAAGAAGATGAGGATGAAGAAGAGGATGAGGAAGAAGAAGATGATGAGGAAGAAGAAGAGGAGAGGATGAAGAAGAAGAGGATGAGGATGATGAAGAAGAAGAGGATGAGGATGAAGAAGATGAAGAAGAAGAAGAAGAAGAGGATGAGGATGAAGAAGAAGAAGAGAAGAGGATGAGGAAGAAGAAGAAGATGAGGATGAAGAAGAAGATGAGAAGAAGAAGATGAGGAAGAAGAAGAAGAAGAAGAGAGATGAGGATGAAGAAGAGGATGAGGATGAAGAAGAAGAGGATGAGGAAGAAGAAGAAGAAGAGGATGATGAGGATGAAGAAGAAGAGAAGAAGAAGAAGAGGATGAGGAAGAAGAAGATGAGAAAGAAGAGGATGAGGATGAAGAAGAGGATGAGGATGAAGAAGAAGAAGAAGAGGATGAAGAAGAAGAAAGAAGAAGAGGATGAAGAAGATGAAGAAGAAGAAGAAGAGGATGAGGATGAAGAAGAAGAAGAAGAAGAAGAGGATGAAGAAGAAGAGGATGAGGAAGAAGAAGAGGATGAAGAAGAAGAAGAAGAGGATGAGTATGAAGAAGAGGATGAGGATGAAGAAGAATGAGGATGAAGAAGAGGATTAGGATGATGAAGAAGAAGAGGATGAGGATGAAGAAGAAGAGGATGAGGATGAAGAAGAAGAAGAAGAGGATGAGGATGAAGAAGAGGAAGAAGAGGATGAGGATGAAGAAGAGGATGAGGATGATGAAGAAGAAGAGGATGAGGATGAAGAAGAAGAAGTAGAATGAAAATAAGAAGAATTCCAGTCCAGCAAAAAGTATCTCTGCAGAGAGCTCCGCTATTTCTGACAGTTCTCTGACAGTTCTTTGACATTTACAGCGGTTGAAACATTGTATCTATTTGTTTCCGAATAAAAACATCTGTATCCTAAATGGAAACAAATAGATACAATGTTTCAACCGCTGTAAATGTGAAGGAACTGTCAGAGAACTGTCAGAAATAGGGAGCTCTCTGCAGGGACACTTTTTGCCAGCTGTAGAAGGGATGAAAATCGGCCGATTTTTTTTACCATTGATGGTAACGTCGGCCGCTTGAACGACCGAATTTTCGTTTTTTAAAAGAAAAATCTGCCGTTTTTTCTCCCCATCTATGGCCTGCATAAGGCCTCGTACACACGATGAGAATATTGGATGAATGATCATCCCTTTCTTTTCTTTTTTACATGCTAGTCTCATATCAGTAGTGGAAAGGTTACTAAAGTTACGAAAATTCTCATAAGACAAAACAGAAGTTCGGCAGTGATTTCATGTATTGTAATGTGTTTGTATTGTATTTTTGGATAAAATTGTGTTGATCAAACGAAAATTGTACGATAGCAGAGTAGCTTATGTAGAAAGTTATATGCAAAACTTTATTGTGTATCTATTCAAAAGATAATTGTGAGAACATTACCTTGCAAGAAGGGACAAACACCAGTCATAGTAAATTAAAAGAACCTGTCCTTACTAGAATGCATGCTTATGGTCAGTGATGTAGATCAAAAGGGCCTTGGAGCTAAATGTGACATCAACGTAGTGACGTCATCACGTTCAGAAACAATGTGTGCAAGTGTCCCCATGATGGAAGCATGATGGAGTCCGGTGTGTGATGCACAACATATTAGGGTAACCGAACAGTCCTATGTACACTTTGGAGATATATCCACGGCAGCACTATTAGGATGTGATAGCAGCCTTACCTCGGAAGTGAAGGGTAAGTATCGGAGAGATTGATTATTGCATCGTAGTGATCGGAGGTGGCAGAAAGTGACTGATTTATTTATACCGACGAGTCCGGGTATCCTCTAATCTGAAAGCCACCATAATGTCTCTCTCTCTCTGTATCTGTACTGGACTTTCACAGTATCTCATTGAAAGAGCTGCTATCCTCCTTTGGTCTATTTGGCCTATATGGACATTCAGCCATTGAAGCAGCTGTTTAATTTCAATTAACAACTTTTGCAATTCTTGCACGAAGTATTCCATGTTGCCAGCTAATGTATGGAGCCCAACATCTGTGATTGGAGGCGGTTACCTTGAATGGGAATTTCCTGTTGTCTTCATACTGCTCACATTTATACCTTTACTTATGAATTAACCATTTGAATGATGTGAAGCCCTATGATCTGCCATAATTGGTGTTTCAACTAATTTATAGGAGGACTAATGAACTTATTTTGATCTGAAAACATTTCAGCTAAGTTTACATTACTCACCCTTCGTCAAACTAGCCTTTAGCTTGTGTCATTCATTTGTATGATGCTGGTCACTATAATAGTTCCATAGTTAGTCTGGCTGAAAAAATACAAAATTCCATCCAGTTCAACCGTTAAAAAAAAAAAAAAGTTATAATCCTACAACAGGGGTGTCCAAACTTTTTTCAAAGAAGGCCAGATTGGATGAAGTGAACATGGTGGAGGGCCGAACATTTTTCCGAACATTCTTTGAACCATTACAATTAAATGCAAATAAATTATTTTATGCCAAGTTAATTGCAAACTACATACTTTTCATTTCATAACATTAAGATCAACTGACAGCTGAGTTTTCACAATGTATTGAAAATAAATAAATAATACCTGCACTAATGTGAAGGGTGAAAAAGGTAGCTGGAGCTGAAGTCTCTGCTCGGCAGCTGGGAGGGGAAGAGAAACACACTTCACGCTGGAAGCCCGGCCCTGACGTCACCGCCCTCTGTCGCTCCCAGCGCGGCGCAGTCACGCATGCGCACTGCTCTCAAGCAGAAGACTGTCTGCCACAGAAGGGAGGGCCGTGCGACAGCCGCATTTACACAGACCAGGGAGAACGTGCCGCAGTCAGGCATGCGCACTGCCCTCTGCTCTCAAGCAGAAGACTGTCTGCCATAGAAGGGAGGGCCGTGGGAGGGCCACATTACACAGAGCAGGGAGGGCTGTTGGAGGGCCGTATTAAACCGACCAAAGGGCCGTAAATGGCCCGCGGGCCGGACTTTGGACATGCCTGTCCTACACCCACAGTTGATCCAGAGGAAGGCAAAAAAACCCCCAGCAAAGCATGATTCAATTTGCTCCTGCAGGGAAAAAATTCCTTCCTGAAGACAAGTTAATAATGTGGGTAACAATTATCTATCTGATTCATCATCTGCTCCTCCTCTTCTCTTCCTTCACAAATGGGTCATTCCTTTTGGAAGTGGAATCAGGTTGGTGTGGATGTGGAACAAAGTACAAAAAAACGTATAATGTCTTTATTGAACATATTATGAGCTATTTTTCAACTTGGTCTCTCACTCAATGATGTGTATATAAACACATTTGGCTCCAAGGCCCTTTTGATCTACATCACTGACCATAAGCATGAGTTCTAGTATGGACAGGTTCTTTTCATTTACTTTGGTGTTTATTTGTCCCTTCTTGCAAGGTAATGTTCTCACAATTATTTTTGAATAGATAAACAATAAAGTTTTGCATATAACGTTCCACATAAGCTACTCTGCTTGGGTAAATAATATATATATTCTTAAAGAGGTACAACGAATCCTGATAGATGTCTATAAAAATGCTGAGCTGTGGAGTGTTGGTTAAATACAGATATGCTGATTTATCACCAGCTTTTGGGGAGTGTGCAATTTGATGGGGTGTTAAAACACTGAATTTTCACTGGTGGAGGAAGACTTCATAGCTTCATTTGCTGAGGCTCATAAGCAATATATGTGCATGGACTTTATTGAATGGACTCTATGAGGATCTTTATATTGGTTTATGTATAGTGACACTTTATGCACATATTTGGTGGTGGATTCAATTAATCATCTGTTTATTTATTTACACACAAGGGTAGCGCTATTATTTGTGATTATTTGTATATATTATATAATATTATCACATTTTGGATTTACTCTGCTTGGGTATTCTTGATTACCAAATATATACAGTCTGTTGTTTACAGCGGTTTGTTTTTTTGTGATACGATCTGGAACCTTCCAAAAAATGTTTCATTCGTGTATCTTTAAACAATTTCAGAAGAAAGCTGTGTACCAATGATCAGATTATTGTATGATCGCTATAAGCTGCATTTTTTGTATGATTTTCTGATCATGTGCACTAGGCTTTATGCTGGCCATAGTCTGATCATCAAAATTCAGCCAGTTTAGCAGAAACTGGATGAATTTCAATCAATCTATCAGCAGGCTGGTTGTACTGAAATCGATTGGTAGATCGACTTCAGTACAACCAGCTTGTCCGGTTTCTATGCACACAATTGCCACCGGTGGCTATAGCCGTCAGTAGTGATCATTGTGTTCTGATGTTGGGGAAACCTCCCACTGTCAGAATAGCACAGTTGGAAGGACTGCCCTATCAGCACTGACTGTGTTGATGGGGAAAACGAGCAATTTTCTTTCCTTCAACCCATTGTACAGTAGAGCTCCTAAACTGACATTCAGGAGCTGTTTAGCAATTTTTTCAGCAGCCCCTGAACTCTCCCTAATGTTTTCCTATGTGGTCATGCACACTATGTTGTTTACAGGCAGTTGAGTTTACAGTCATTTTTTTGTTAACGCACCAAACTTGCGTTCAGGAGATTTTACCTGCTTGTAAACACGTTTAACCACGTTTATAAGCATTTGCATGTAGAATCGTTTTTTTTTAACTGTTCCATGTCCAGATGCTGTCCAGAGACTTTTTTCATCATCAGAAATGCATACAGAGTGTTTTCCATGTATTCAAATGGACCCGGTACACCAGCGCAGTCAGTTGCAGGTTTCACGTGAAGGGAAAAATGGTAGAACGTGCCGCATTATGCTCATGATGGGATCCGTAGTGAATACAACCCTAAAAGACAGGTCATCTCAACACATACTGATCTCTCTGCTTCTGCTCTCTCTATTCCTCTCAAAATGTCTGAAATAGTTAATTTTTCACTATTTTTCAGTGCGTTCTGGGCATTTGTAAAGGTCTTTTTAGGTTATCGTTTAAAAACGCTTCTAAAACACAAATGCACATAAATGCAGTATGCAAACGTGGCTAAACTGATGTTTTTTAATCTATGTTTTCCAGCAGTCAGTTTCCATCATTCAGAAGAGTTTTTAAAACGCCCCGGATACATGAGCTCTTAGAGGCATAATTTAAGCTGAATGTTTAGAGGCAGAAAAAAAAAAAAAAAAAAAACTCTTCTGGTTTTTGCTTTGATTTGAGCTTTCTGGCAGAAAAAAATGCTAACTTTCCTAAACTCGTCTAAAATGTGTACAAAAACACTCTATATCAGCGTTTTTGTTGAGCCCAGTGTGCATGGAGCCTTACAGTATTCCTTCTGCAACACACTATAGCCAATGTTTAATTGCTAGGAATGGAAAGACAATGGGGGAGATCTACCAAAACTGGAGCACTCAGAATCTGGTACAGCTGTGCATTATAGCCAATCAGCTTCTAACTTCAGCTCGTTCAGTTAAGGTTTGGCATTAACACCTGGAAGCTGATTTGGTTTTCTAGGCAGAGCTGCGACACATTTTGCACTCTCCAGTCTTCGTAAATGTAGCGCAGTGTATATATGCACATTGTAACCCTCTGTATGTATTGTATAGCTTTTTCCAGTAACTGTAACTTGTACATACACACCATTTCTGCTTAGTAAAAACATATTAATATTCTATAGATCTATTACTTTGGTTTTTATGGCAAAAGTTAGGACAAAAATGTTGCCTAAAAACTGAAACAGTCTCGGGTGAACCAAACCATTGATGGAATGTATACCATAATATTAATGTCATTAATCCATCCACCAACAATCCTCTTGTCTATGAAAGAAGGTGAAAGCAACCGGTAGTAAGCAAAATCCTACAAAAGATAAAATATTATGATAAAAATGATCTCAGTCTATTTGGTACTAACCTTCTTCTTGTGTCTGATTGGCCAGAAGGGGACAGCTTTCCCATGGTAAGGGGTACTGGAAGGAATTAAACATATAAAAAAGGCTCCATCCGATAATAACATTGTAATACAGGGCGACGAATGTACACACCTGCAAACAGAAGAAAGATGGGTATGTTATTTCTTCAATATCAATATTCTGTTTTATCCATTTATAACAGTGGTTACAGGACTGACATAATGGGATGAATTTTACATATACACTGCATAAACATAAACAAATCAATCCTGCAAGCCAACTGTCAGTTCAAACCTACTTTACTCTCATCTTTTGGGCCAAACTAATAAAATACTTCTTTTGAACCCAACTTTCCCCCAGTATTTCTCTTATTAGTTAAAAATTTCAGGTTTCATGTAGTCAATCCTCCTAAATGCCCTCTACTGTATGCTAACCAGCTAATTTTTGTCCTATAGGGCTGGTGGTACTAATGAATTTAATTAAATACAAAAGGTAGCTCCTGGTATCTGTGCAATGGCAAGTGGTGTGCGTTTTAAGCCTGGGTTCACATATATGCGGTGCGGTATATCGTATGTGATTCGCACGTATGTGAACCGCACCGCATTCCTGTGCAAATCACATGCGATTTGTGTGAGGTGCAATTGAAGCCATACATTTTGTATGGTTCTAATTGCACCGCACCCACACCAAAAAGGTGCAGGACCCTTTTTTGGTCCGCACTAGAATCTGATTGCATGGGTATTCACACCTATGTGATCCGATTACGCACATCGCACCGTGTTTTGCGGACTGCTTTCAGGGTGTTGTTAACTTAACATATTCTGCTTTTATTTCCTTTGGTTTGTGAGTATACATCTATTTGTTTACACAATAAATACGTGGTGTACCACGGTAATGCACGATAAGAGTGCGCCCTTGTCTGCTTTTGTCTATCAACACCCACAGCGGTTCGCATGAACGGGGTGCGATTCTGATGCGGTGCGGAATTCACACTGAAAACGCTGTGAATTCCACACCGCATCAGTGTGAACCGAGCCTAAAGGAGTTGGCATTGCAACACACACCTGCAAAGAATATGCAACAATTAAAGCAAATGCAGAAATCAATGCAGCCTAAGGGCCCTTTCACATTGGTGGCTTTTGCTATGCTCAAACATACCTTTCCAGCAAGGCAAAATTATTCCCCTTTAAATCCTATTTAACTATTCACATAACTGGGCTGCATTTGCCCTTTAAAAAGTCCTGCATGCTGCAAAATACACTTCCCATTGATTTCTATAGGAAACACACCAAAAAATATCCAATTGCTTCTCCGGGGATCAGGAAGGAATGTTTTCCCCTGTAGCAAATTGGATCATGCTATGCTGGGTTTTTTATTTTTGCCTTCCTCTGGATCAACTGTGAGTATAGGATAACTTTTTTTTTTTTTTTTAATGGTTGAACTGGATGGACTTTTTTCAGCCAGACTAACTATGTAACTGTGGGTGAAGGATTATACCTTTTTTTTTTTTTGGTTGAACTGGATGGACTTTTGTCTTTTTTCTGCCAGACTAACTATGTAATTATATGTTATGCATTTTTTTTGAGTCATATGTCCAAGGTACATACTAGGAGACAGGAATTCAGAAAAAACATGCCAAAAACACATTTAAAACGTGTTAAAAACGCATATTTCAAAAACACATACATTGTTTTTAGGCATACCAGTGCAAAAGATCCCTAATTGCTAGTGTGCATGTATCCAAGGGTTACATGGCTAACAGATTTTAAGTTGGCTGCCACCTGGATTAAATCAGCCACACAACCTGTGTAACCCCTGGTTTGCATATATGTGGCCGTGCGGGCCACTTTTGTACAGGCACGAGAGCCCATTCATTTGAATGGACTCCTGTGCCCCATGACACACAGGGAAGAAGTCCCTGTACTTCTTCTGAAAATGCAGCCCGCACAGGAACCTCGGTTCCCAGTACGGCTGCGGTTTCCAGTGCGGGCGGCGTGCCATTAAAACTAATGGCACCCTCCCGCGTGTCCGCATTCCTCTGTGTGGGTGGTGCAACTGCCTGGATTTTCGTGCGGATCTGCAGCCGCACCACCCGCACAGATGTGAACCTAGCCTAAAAATATTTGGAAAAACTGCTGCGCAGGAAGGCAAAGGCACATTCCACCTTTTGCAAATATTTAATAAATGAACCATTAAGAAAATAAAAAAAGTGCATAGGCTAAATGTTTGCACTGAAGCCTGCAGAGAACTGCAACCACGAACAGAGCATTGTGGGAGGGAAGCACAGGCTCCTGCAGTGTTTACATCCTAGATTCAGGTCCTTACATTGGTATGGACCTTTGATTATGAGAAAGCTAGAGAAAGTTTAAAAAAAAAACACAAAAAAACCCAAATAAAACCTAAAAGTGCAGCGATATCACCGCACATGTGCTCCATTATGGTGCCACAGTGGGACTTGTAGAATACATTTACAAAATACCCTGCACTCCTATAAACTTACCCCCAAAGTGTGGTGTCAGCTGCTCCTTTAAAAGTGTCCCCACAACACTTTAGCGCACAGATGTCAAACTGGCGGCCCTCCAGCTGTTGCCAAACTACAAGTCCCATGAAGCATTGCAAGATTGACAGTTACAAGCATGACTCCCAAAGGCAGAGGCATGATGGGACTTATAGTTTCGCAACAGCTGGAGGGTCGCCGGTTTGACACCCCTGCATTTACTGCAAAACAATAAAGAAAATAGGAGCTGTACATTCTTTAGCTGATCATACAATTATTAAGGTGATCATATTAAAAGTGAAAAAACTTTTGTGTACCACATAAATCTTCCAGTGTTACAAGTAAGTGTCCAGTACTTCTCATAAATGATACTTTTCATACTCCCACCACTGTGCCAAGCCATAATCCACCAGTGAATCCAGAAAGATCCATCCACCAAATGGCAGCGACCCCTCATAAATAAGCAGGTCAGTATGCACTTTGCTTTGTTGGGGGAAAAAAAAAAAAAAACACTCCACTTCACCTCCAGTGTGCCTGATCTCCTGGGACCCAAATCTCCATCTCCTCATCATACCACCGAGGAACTTACAAACCCAATAGGTAAATTCTCATTGTGCAGTGTTTATTGTTTATTAGACCTACATTGAAAAAAAAAAGTGGGCACTCACATTTGCTTGTGCCCAAATAAGCACCAGTACAGTCAGCCAGAACAGAAGTCCCTGAAGATGTCATAAAGCGGAAACGCGTAGAGGTGGGACTTTCCAATTGTCATTTCTGGTTACATCAGTTCCGGTGATGTGAATTCTGGTAATTGGAGCGCATGATGACTCTAGGTGACAGTAGAGGTAGTGTGGCCCACAACCCACAACAGTAAAATCAGTCTGTATATGCAGTAAAGCATGCTTGTTATACTCGCTGTGGAACCTAAGGGGTTAATCCTCTGCATTGTGTAAAAAGGCTGTTTCATCCTGTCTGCTCTGATCCTCCCCTGCTTGCGGTGTCCCCCTCTTATCTCCTGATAAGACATATCGTGTGCAGTCACTCTGCACATGCTAAGTTTGGTGTGTATTGCTAGAGGTTTTTTTTTTTTTCCTTGGGAGAGTGCATGTGATCAGCACAGGGCCAATCAGCACTGTCCAGACAGAGGTCAGGGGTTCTGCATCCTAGAGCAGAATGAAAACTCCTCTTACAAGCTTTAACCAGTGCTCTGCTGGACACTGATAGAAGTCACAAGACTGCTATATACTGTTGATGAGAAAAGGTATTTAGCAGTTTATATTTACTAAAATAATTGCATTTTCATGTTCTGTGTACTGTGGGAGACCGGATATAGTGAATGCAGGGTGATGGGTTTAGCAACACTTTAACTGGGGCTGACTGTTCTGGTGTCGATTCGGGAGGGGGGGGGGGGGGGGGGGGGGGTAAAAAAAAAAAAAAAAAAAAAACACGCAATCGGGAGGCAGCAATATTGCCTCCTGAATGCCCAGCAGCTGCAGCTCTACCACCACGTGGAAAGCGATCCACAGTGGATCACTTTTCAGAAGGCAGGAGAGCAGAAGCTGGCAGGCATTCAGGAGCTGATATTGCCGCCTCCTGGAGGTGGTTTTTTTTTTTTTTTTAATTTTTAAAATCCTAATGGTTACACAGGCTAACACACATTTTTGTAGCTTGAATGTTAGACCTGTTCCTGGGTATATTTGATCCGTGGATTCCAAAAATAGCACCAATTTTTCCCAATCAGCTCTAGTTTTTGAGACACAACATAAATGCCATATACTAATCTTCACTCTGGTTGCCCATACAAAAATCTGGATATTTTTATGTAGTGGTTCTTTAATCTCCTTGTAGCATGAAATAAACACATAAAAAAGTAGCCATAACCTTATAATTTCATCAAAAATGAAACAATATGAGTGGCAATATACACACACCTCCTATTTGATGAAAATTATAATACAGTCTATAACTTACACTTTAGAATCCAATGTTTCCGATTTATAAAATTACAATTGGAAGTACTTAAACTTTCTTACCATATCTGCCAATTTGTACGCAAAAACACAAACTAAGTAACAGAAGAACAAATTGATTAGCAAGATTTTTTCAAAATGGACTAAAAAAATTATAGAAATTCAACCGTATCTAAGAAACTAGTGCTGATGCAGTCTAGTCAATGCAAGTTTGTGAATCAGCACCTCAAATAACCCCCAAAAACAGGTCTAAAAAGCAAGAAAAAAGATTTTTTGTTGGGCTGTGTTATTTTGTATTGAAACATCGCTCCACAACCACAACACACAAGCATTTAGCTAGCGGTCACGGCACGTTCCTATTGACCTCAATGGGCAAGTCTGATAGGCGGTGCTGCCTGTCAAATTGTGAAAGCCGAGTTAAATCTGTCACAGCTGCAAAGCAAAGCGGCATGTGTACCACGCTGTCTGGTTGCCTGTTTAGGTGGGCAGGTGGGGGTGGTAAAAATGCAATCAGCCTCTTTTAACCGCGTCTTTACCACTCGTATGAACAGGCCCTTACTTTGCATATCACCACAAGAGATGATATAATAATTCAATATTAATTATACTTATAAACTTGGCATGTACTTACTATACAGCTGGCAAACCCAATTCCGGCTAACCGAGGGCTGATATGCTTCCAAACGCCGATGCTCCCCTGGCGTATGCTTTGTCCAGCCGCTAACTCCAGGAAGAAAAGCGGGATGCCGATGATAAGTAGCAGCAGAAAGTACAGTAACAGGAAGGCACCTGCCAAGACAAGACATATATTATAGTAATCATTCTTCTGTCACTTACAAAAAATGGCAAAACAGAACCTGAATAACTTGACACCATATCCACTTCAGCTCCAGCAATGTACCTGTATGTCGCTGGAGTTTGAGCTATTGGGTAGCACAGTGGCTAAATGGTTAGCACTTCCGCCTGGCAGTACTGGGGTCGTTGGTTCGAATCCCAACCACGGCACCACCTGCCTGGAGTTTGCATGTTCTCCCTGTGCCTGCGTGGGTTTCCTCTGGGTACTCCGGTTTCCTCCCACACTCCAAAGACATGCTGGTAAGTTAATTGGCTCCTTTCTAAATTGGCCCTAGTATGTGTATGTATGAATGTGAGTTAGGGACCTTATATTGTACGCCCCTTGAGGGCAGGGACTGATGTGGGTGTACAATATATGTGTAAAGCGCTTCGTAAATTGACGGCGCTATATAAAGTACCTGTAATAAATAAATTATACCGGCTCATCCCAGTACTGTTTTTTTTTTTTTTTTTTTTAAAGCAGACGGTCGGCTGTCTTGAAATAGCAATTGGAGTGGCTATCTAACTGCTCCATTGCTATTACAAGCAGCGGAAAGGGACGTCTCTCCCCCTCCCGCGGCTTTAATGGGATCTCACGTCCCACCAGGAGTCCCAGTTGACCAGCCGGCACACCAGCTGGCTGATCATAGAGCCGAACAAACACCGCATTGGCTTTATGATATAGTAACCTGGAAGCGTTGACCTAATTTCTGGTTTACTCAGATTTTCATAGTGCCATTTTTATAAAGGAAAAGCATTTATACACACAATCTTGGTGTGATTAAATGCTTTTAAGGGCAGATGAGGGATCTGGAGTCAAATTGGCCCCAAATCTCTCCATAAAGAGTCCTATGCTCCACCTATGCCTGATGAAAAAGCGCTCCGGCCCACGCTGGTTCCCGCACATGCTCAGAAACGCGGCGCATCCCGATGAAGTCAGACGCCCCAACGCCACTAGCTCCGGACATATTGGAGACCGAGCCAGGCTTTACCATCTATGCCTTACCTATTGCAGCGCCTCCTGCTGACCAGACGGGTTCCTCTTTTCCAGAAGCAGTCCTTACATCTGGCGACAGACGTACTGCACCTTATCCCTATGAGCCTGTTTACTATATGAAGATGTGAGATGCTATATTTACCTTTTAATTAATAAACTGTTGTACAGTCTACACTTAGAGGCGCTATGTCTTTTGCTTCTACTCCATAAAGAGTACCTGTCACATGCCTATTGCTGTCACAAGGGATGTTTACATTCTTTGTGACAGCAAAAAAAGTGATAAAAAAAAAATGTTAAAAATAAAATAAATACATAAATAATGAAAAAAATTAAAGTGCCCTCACCCCCCTGTCCTTGCGTGCAAAGGTGAATGCACGCGTCGGTCGTTGGCACGCAAACATCGATCGTCCTACACGTGAGGTATCACCGCACGCGTCAGATAATGGGCATTAATTCTAGCACCAGACATCCTTTTTAAATCTAAAAAGTGTAACCTGTAAAGGCTTTTAAAGTGTCACCTATGGATAGCAAAATGCTGTTTGTCGCCATTGCACAAGCACAATTTTAAAGTGTGACAGGTTTGGTATCTATATACATGTAAAAATGCAAAAAATTATGTTATGTATTGTGTTGATCCCCAAAAAATTGCATTTGAAAAACTGCTGTACATATACCGGGTGACATTAAATTTGCAAAACCCACCAATTTATTCTCTAGGGCTTCTACTTTAAAACAATATATAATGCTTGGGGGCTCTAAGAAATTTCTAGCAAAAAATACTGATTGTGAAATGTAAATAAAAAGTGCCAGAAAACGGCTTGGTCTTCAAGTGGACATTGAAAAAAGTTGTGAATATACAGTACATACACATAACCTGTTAGCCACTAGAGGGCAATCCGACACACAGAATGGGCAGGATTGAAGATGGTTGGCGGGTAGTGTTGAGCAGGTCAGACAGATCCACATGCAAATGATGGAGTCACAGATTTTCCCCAATTAAATCACGCACACACATATACATATATATATATAATATATATATATATATATATATATATATATATATACACACACACACACACACACACACACATATATATATATATATATATATATATATATATATATATATATATATACACACACACATACACATACATATATATATATATATATATATATCTACATATACACACATACACATACATATATATATATACACACACACACACACACACACACACACACACACACACACATATAATATATATATATATATATATATATATACACAACATACATATATATATATATTATTTTATTTTTTTTTTAAGTGAGTACTGTCACTCTAGAACATGAAGTGTGTTCCTGATGCTACTGATACTGATCGCCAGTTAGTTATAACGTAAAAGAAGCCTACAAGTAGAAAACTAAAGCATCCACATTTAAGGACTGGTAGGCTGAAATATAATTCTTGGGATCAGATATATAGATATACAGATGCATGATATGCATGCATGCTAGATAATGTGTAAAGCTCACCATACATGTTACAATCTTTGTCTGATATCTTTTATATTTACCATAAATGTGACGACGTACTAAAACTATCCAATCAGTTTGTATCCAATCAGAAAGGCCATTGTGTTACATAAATTGATGGTAGATCGATAGGAGATTGTACAGTCAAATTTACTTCCACTACCCATGGTGGAAGGAAAGAAAATTGCATAATCTATGGGCAGCTTGAGTGTACCTCTTGAAGGTGTTTATTACCGATCACACAGATCACACTAATCCCCCTGACAATGCCTTCATCTGCTTATCTCTCCAGAAGGATGGTAACATCTTTACTCAGGTATCATCCAGGATCACCATGTACTTTTCCTGGAAAGGGATGCTGGCCTGAGTAATTTTTGTTCACAAATGTCTGGGACACATCAGCCCCTGCTAAAGCCTCACACTGTGTGACTTTTTAGAAAGTTACGATATTTTCAGTTTAAAGTGGTATTAAACCCAAAATCAAACATTTACTATATTGCAGCTTACCAATTCCTAAATGTGGTGGCTGTATTAGTTTTCTTTTTTGGGTTTACATTCCTTTATTTTCCACTGGTGATCTGGCCAGTAAGTATGTTGTTTTTCAACAGAACAAGCTGTGCTGCCAAATATCAGTCACGGGGAGACAAACCATTTAACACTGATAGGGGTGCTTACTATGATCAGCTTTTATTTATGTAAATCCTTTATCCCAAAAGGAACAAAGCGTTTGCTGTAACTGCTTATAAAGTGTCAGCTGGAATGTGGCATTGATTTGTTAGTGTATCTAAATCTGCTAGTACACTTCCTCTGTCCCCAGACTGGCGATGCTGCTGTCAAAAGGTGCCCCCTGAGCTCCTTCATCCATAGTTGGCACACTCTTAATACAGGAGTGTTACTGGCCAGATCACCAGGTGAAAAAGACCCAACAATAGAAAACTAATGTGGCCATCACATCTAATGAATGGTAAGCTGCAATATGTTACATTTTTGGTTTTGGGTTTAATACTGCATTAATCAATGGGGGAAGAGACTGATGACACCATCCCAGACTAGCCAAAGTCACTAGGCCGGAGCTCAGTTAGAATGTTTTAATGATTTAAAGCTTTTTGCTTTGTAAATGATATTGTTGCACATCTCAATTTGTTCAGACATTGGATTGAATGAATTAACAGCTTTTTTTTTTTTTTTTGCTATTCCATACACCAGTAGTAAGGCCCCATTCACATAGGGGATCTGATCAGGTCCACCTGTCAGTTTTTCAGATGGACTTGATCGGAAGGTCCATGCATTCCTATAGACAGGAGGGTGTAAACGGCCTTGTGTGCATTTCCACCCACCTACCCCCAGATCTGATTAAAAAAAAAGGAATGGGATCTGTCATCTTCCATTTAGGCGAGGTGGATCGGAGGGTAGTTGGGTGTAAACAGACAGCATTTACTTCCGGACGCCCACAGAGCAGATCGGATTCTGTCCACGTCCACTCCGCATAAACTGAGAGGACACGGATGTTTCCTCTTCCTGCTCTGATCCGACCAGCAATGAGCTGATCCTCTGCTGATCGGAACAGAATCTGCCCCGTGTGAAAGGGGCCTATGGTATTTTATGCTGGAAGTATGAATTCATACGAGGGCACTGAACTCCCTCCGATGGATATTCCAGAATGATAAAGAAATGCATATTCCTACAATCCAACCATGAATGTGTGAATCTCTGGTAACGGGCTTAGCAATGGGCTGGAGGTCAACATTTCCAAAAGAGCTCCAACGCAATAGAAGAATCAAAGTTTTAATAATCCGAATGATGTCCATCTGATAGAGGAGTGGAGGGGTACTGAATTAAAATTCACAGAGGTCCGATCAGTAAAATTTTATTCCAGTGTAGGTCCGAATTGCATGTTTGTGTGATGACTCTGTCACATCACTGCCCCCTCTTTTATTTCACAGTCCCATTATTTCCTCAGTCCCCCTTCATATCACAATCCCTCCTTCACATCAGTTTCCCCTTTACAGTAGTGTTCTGAACCCCCTTCACAACAGTATCCTCTGCCCCCCATTCACACTACAAAGCCCCTAGTGCATCTAACACTCCTTCACATCACAGCCCCCTGCAGCTCTGGCACCCCTTTACATTACACTGCCCCCTGCACCTCTTCACATTACACAGCCCCCTGCACCTCTGGCCCCCTATACATTACACAGACCCCTGCACCTCTGGCCCCTATTACACAGCCCCCTGCACCTCTGCCCCCTCCCACATTACACAGCCCCCTGCACCTCTGCCCCCCCTACATTACACAGCCCCCTGCACCTCTGACCCCCCCCCCCTTTACATTACACTGCCCCCTGTACCTCTGACTCCCCCCTTACATTACACAGTCCTCTGCACCTCTGACCCCCCCCCCCTTACATTACACAGC